CTCCTGAGATCCTGGGCTCTCAAGGTCACCCAGAGCCAGCCGTCTGGCCAGCCAGCAGGCCTCTCACGCAGTTCCAAGCAGCAGCAGGCCCTGCAGACGGGCATCCTGGGCTGAGCGGCCAATGTCAGCCAGCAGACAGAGAGTGAGAACATCAGGCTGGAAGTTCCCGCGTGCGCATCCTCCTCCGTCAGGGCACTCTCTAATGGGAGCAAGGATGGGAGGGAGAGGGGGTGGCAGGCAGCAGAGGACTCAGAGTTCCACCTGGCAGGGACGCAGCATCTTTCCACAGAGCTGGCCTGGCCAGACCTTCAGTGGCTCTCCCACCCCGGGGATCCCTGACTGGCAGGACGGCCGCCTCCTTTCCCCAGCAAGAGCCTGACCCTGCTGCTCCTGCATCCCCTTCTTGCAGCCCACTCCCCGGCGGGCGTCAGGGTGGGAATACCCCATCAGCAATGTCACTTCAGCTTCGGGAGGCTGGGCAAACCACGGAAGCCCTCAGGAGCTCAGTCTTCCTATTCATAAAATGGGTTACCACCACCCCTGCCTGTTTCTGAGCCCTGAAGGTCACATGGGTGCCGGGAACTCTCAGGGGAGGGCAGAGAGTGGGAAGGCGTGTGCCGAGATAGGTGACCAGCAGGTAGGAATTGTTAACTGCCTTTCCTGCCCCCTGACTCTGGCCTCATGCTCTTTGCTGTCTCTAACCCAGCCCCTTCACTAGAATGTCCGCAGGAGGAGAGCAACATGTCTCACCCAGAGAAATTCAAAGTGGGAAAAAACGGGGGAAAAGTCAGCTGACCCACCTTTCAGCCGTAGCATGAAAATGCAGGACCTTTATGTCTTGTGGCCTGGGGCTCAGAGAGTAGGCCACTCTGGGAGGTTAAAGGCACCTGATAAGTGAGCCCAGGCATGCCAGTTCCTAGGGGTCAGTGTCTCCCTGAGAGTATGGTTGTAGCCAGATGAACCCTGTTCAGATGTTCATTGTGTGGAAAAGGGCTCTTCCTGGCTGGACCGCGCTTGGCAGAGAGCAGGCTTGTTTGGTGTCTGCGAAAGTGCAAAACTCTGCAAACGGGGCTGGAGTTGCCCCTGCTTGGTACTGTGCTGCCAGCATCATGGTGACGTCCAAGTTTAAACAGGACTTTGCCATTTGGCTAGCAACTGAGGTGGGGTCAGTTCCAGGTGTGAAAGACTAAAAACAAGGACAATTTACATGGCATTTTCTGGGCCGGGCACTACACAAGCCCCTTTATGCATACTGTACACTTCATCTTCCTTAAATCTAAAGGTACTGTTTTTATCCCCATTCTACAGATAAACAGAGGCTCAAGATGGCCACCCAGCTAGCAAGTAGCAGACGGTTGAACTGGGCTCTCTCTGCTTCCGGAACCTGTCCCCTGCACCCTAGAGGCAGGGACAGGAGAGGAACTGTTTATATCCTGAGATTGTGGGGGAGGGGATGGGGGAGGCCTCAGGAGTCTGAGATGAGGGAGGGGTACGGTGCTGTGTTGGAGGAACTCCACCCCTCTCCCCCCCAGCCAGGCCAGACCTATGGACCAGAGGCTGGCCAACTGTCCCAGTCTGCCTGGAATGGCCGGGTCACTGTACCTGGGGGCTTAGTCATCCTCAGTACCAGTTGTGGAGAAGGCTGAGTGGCCTGTTGGGACCGGGTCAGGATACAGCCTGGGAGCCTTTGCAATTACGTTAGCTTCTGGCGGCACTAGAGGGAGACTGGCCTTCCCCTCCCCTTCTGCTTCCTGTGGCTCCCTGGGATATAGTGATTCAGCAGCAAGTTGCAAGGAGGCTAGACTGTGACCTACCCGAGTGGAATCACCAGCGGGGTGGGGGCTGTCAGCACCAGCTCAGGGCAAGAATTGGAGCAAGGAGAGGAAGAGTGGGAGGGGGGTTTGGGTTGTTAGGGAGCTGAACCCCGGCAGAGGGTCCTGCAGTCCTGCCCAGGCCAGGACTGACTGCAGGGCAGCTGGAGGTGGCCAGGCCCTGCCTTTCCCCCGCCCGTGCCCTGATATGTGAGGGATGGGGGAGTCCCAGCCACTGGGTACCTAAGCCGCTTCTCAGCATATTCAGCGGCTGAAAATACGAAATGGCTTTGTTCAAAGGTGCCCAACCAGAAACTTGCAAGAGGTTTCCTATTAGGGCCAGGCCTGCTCAGGCCGGAGGCCAGGTGCCCTGTGAAGGGGGCCAGGTGCCCTGTGCCGGCCACTCCCACCATTCAGTCAGAGCCCGGCCACCCCCACTGACCCAGGTGCTTCTCTGGGTCAGACGTTCCCCTCCCTTCCTTGCACCCATGGCTCTGGGGTGGCAGTGCTTGAGGATCTGAGCACCAGAGCAAGGCCTGGGTTCTCCGTGCCTAATCCCAGGCTTGCCCTTACTCATCGTGTGACCTTGAACAAGTTGTCACTTCTCTAAGCTTTGCCCTCCTCACCTGTGAACTGTGGAAGCCACACCTCCTGCAGAGGGGTCCAGGTGGGAAGGACTTATACTTTGGCTAAAGGACAGGCCGGCAAGGGATCTGTCTGGAAGCTTCTTTGGCACTGCAACCACATCGTTCTTAGGAAGCAGAAATGTTTCTTAGCGGTGGCTGGGGTCCTGATGAGACTGCAGTGCCCCCTGGTACCACTTCTGCCTGCCTGTCAGGGTTGTAGCGAAGGGATGGAGTTCTCGGCCAGCACTTGTCAGAGATGCAGACAGTGTGGTTGGCTGGGGTGGGGTTCCACGTCTGAATTTGTAACCAGCTCCCCAGATGATCCTGTTGAATAACCAAGCTGAGTATTGCTGACCTGGGCACCTGGGAATTATGTCCCTCTCCCACTCCCAAGCCTCGGTGTGCTCCTGTCACCCGAGAATGACCTGCCTGCCTCCCTTCTTGGTGCTGTTGACAAGCTCAAAGCAAATCCTGGGCAGCCAGCAGCTGCACAAACGAGAGAGGAGGAAGGTAGGTGGCTATGGCACTGTGAGGAAGCCACGTCCGCTTGTGCCACCGGCAGCCAGCAGATGGTCAGCGGGCCATTGTGGTCCCAGGCCCCCGAGGGCTTCTGCAGGACCAGCAGGATACATAGCGGAGCAGGGAGGGACAGCTCCTTTCCCAGGCCTCCCTCACTCTGCACAAAAGCCTGAGAAATGAATTCCTCCCCGGGAGTGGCAAGTTGGCTGGGCAGGACATAGCCACCATGTGAGCTTCAAGGGGCCCAGCCAGGCACTCTGGGACACAGTCTGTCCTGGTCTTCCTTTCTGTCCTAGAGAGATGAGCATGCCCAGACTGCCAGGTCGGGGTTGGGGGGGGGGGCAGCGCATGGGAACTCCCCACCTTCCTAACTCCTCCTGGAGGCCACAGATACAGCAGGTCCTCCTCTGCCTCATCCACCCTGCCATTTCCATTCTTGGCAGGTGGCTGTATATACCACCGCTCTTTCCAAGTTGGATGACCTTGGGCAGTGGCTGAGCTTCTGTTTCTTCATCTGTAAAATGGGGGTGATAAGACCTTCCTCTTAGTGTGGATGTGAGGATTGAAAGAAGCATGGAATACTAAGGGAGTTCTCAAACTAAGATGGGCAGGTAGGAGGAAGGTATCAGAAATGCAGGTTCCTGGGCCTCAGCTCCAGCTTTCTGATTCACGGGGGGTCTGAGCCCAAACTTTAGAAAACTTAGGAGCCTAGGAGAGGTGGAACCCCTCAACCTTGGCTGTGCAAGCAAATCACGTTGGTGCTTAACTCCCCAAAAGCTCAGGCTATACCCCTAGACCTCCGGAATCAGAATCTCGGGGCATCTCCATGAGGTTGACCCTCTTTCTTATGAACCTGCTGTTCCTTCCTCCACGAAATCACTTCTTTCCAGCAGATGTAGCTGGCTAGTTCGCTTAGACCAAAGTCCAACAATTGGCATTTTCTTTGATCCCCCAGGGAAAATAAAGGCATTTCCTCTAGTCTCCGGATAGACCCCCAGCCCGCCTCTCCTGAGCCCTCCAGGAGCCTTCAGCCTTTCAGAGGCCTGTAACGCTCTGCTCCCCGAGGATTGGGGAATGGAAGCGTTGGTTGGAGGGGCCAAAGGCAGCAACAAGGGCAGGGTTTGGGAAATAATGTGATCCTGAGTCTGGATTAAGTCCTTGCTGGAGGGCCTCAGCCTGGGGTAGTCCAGGGCAGGTTAATGGAGGCTGGGAGGTGTTGAGTTATTGCTATTGATGAGATTTGAATCCGGTACTCACTCAGAAGCTCAACCTCCATTATTACTATTCCTAGCCTCACAGTTAACGCTTGCATTGTGCTGTGCCCTCCCTCACCGCTGCTGAATCCGTTTCCCAGCCTGAGACTTTAAGGTGAAAGACGTATCTGTTCAATATTCAGCCTACCGCCAATATATATCCGCACCTACACCGGGCCCAGGGGAAGTAATGGGAGGAGTCAAGCCACAGTGTGACTTCAGGGAGCCTGGGGTCTAGGTCAGGGGCAGACTTTAATTAAGGGTCACACAAATCTGTAATTATGCAGAGAGGAGATGGGGAGGATGTTGGGGAAGACACGCTGAGGAGGTGACATTTCAGTCGTGACTGGAAGTCTGAGTGGGCATGAGCAAGCGTTGCAAAGAACTGGGAGGGGAAGCTTCTGTAGGGGAGGGGCGCGGGCGCCCGGGGCCTCAGTTTCCCTATTTACGAAGTGTGTGAGAACCTGCCCCGCCCTCCCGCACCCGCTGAAGACCGGGAAGGTGCCCACCGAGCCCCTCCCGTCCGGCCGGCCAGGGGCGGGGCGGGGTCCGGGGTGCGGGCGGCGGGCGGGGCGGGGCGGGGCCCGCGGCTCGCGCCCGGGGCCGGCTGCCTGGGGGACCCGCGGGCGTGCGGCTGCGGAGCGCGCGGCTCGCGGGCCGCCAAGATCACATGAGCAGTGGTGCCGCGGACCGACCGCAGCCGGCCGGTGGGCGCCCAGCAGCCGCAGCCCCGCAGCCCCGCGCCCCTGCCCGGCCCTAACCATGTCTGTCTGTTGTTGCTTCTTTTTCAGGGACTATGGCAGTTCCAAGAGGAAATCAGGTAAGGGAGCCTCCGGGCGTTTTTCCTTCCAACCTCCCCTCCCGCTTCGCGCTCGTGCCTCTCGGATCCTGCAGAGGACTTTCTGGGGGCTTGTCCTTGCCGGCCGCCCCGTGGTCCCGCGGGGCCGTGTTCCCTTCAGGTGTCCTCCTCCCCAGCCCATGGCCCCTAAGCTCTCTGGTACTCACACCTTCTCCCACCAAGCCCCTCAGGCTCTCCCTGGATTCTCCCGGTGGGAATGCGGGTGGGTGCATGGGAGGGTGTGGGGGTGTCTCGTGAAGGGCCCCCGCAACGCTGGCAGCCGGATCTCCCCCCCCCCCCCACCGTGGGCTGCGGTGCCTATTGCTGGGCACTGCTGTGACTTCTCCTTGGGTCCTTCCGGTGGTGCGGCGGTAATGAGGGGGTTAACAGAGACGCAGGGTTTTCCCCGTGCGAAGGTGAGATCCTGGACTGAAAAAGGGGTCCTACTTGAGTGGCTGTGAGTTTTTAACGCCTGCAACGCAAACGTTCTCCTTTTCCCCCAGCTCTGAGCGCTTTCTCATTGCTGCGGGGGTGGGGGCTCTACGTGGTGGCAGTAGAGGCCTGGATGGGAGGGGGCCGACTGGCCCTGGCATTGGCCTGACAGGTGCCAGGGCCCACCCAGAGTTTGTGAAAGGGGTGGGAACAGGGAGAGAGGCGGGGCAAATCCTCGGACGCTGTGGGCCAGGTGCTGTCGGCTGGGGTCAGAGAAGGATTCTCTCCTGGTGGGGGAGGCGGGGTTCTGCACGCGCCTGGGTGTGGGTGACGCACAGTTCATTGGGGGAGGGTGGTCCCTAGGAGTTAGGGCTGTGTGTCTGGCGGCGGGGGGTAGGGGGGAGGGCGGCGGACTTAAGCGATCTGTGTTGACATGTGTGTTGCCCATATTTATGGGGGTGGTGAGTTATGGGACCAGCAGCCATCTGGGGGTTCTGGCCCTCGGGGATGTGGGAGTAGGTATAAACACGTGGCTCAAGTTATTGGTTCCCTGGGGAGATATCTGTTTAAGTGCCTTGACCTGTGGATCAGCAGAGGTGTGTGTGCCCATGTATGAGGGATAGAATGTGAATTGGGAGAGGTGTATGTCGTGTGTTTCTGAGTATGGGTTGCTATGTTTTGTGTGTGCAAGTGCTTGCTTATATGTTTATAGGGACCAGGAAAGTTGTGCCCTGGTGTATGTACTGGGGGGCATGTGTGTAGGTGGGGTTGTGTATGGACATGCGTGGGTCTTCATAGTTGTATGTCATGAGGGTATGTTTACTCCTTAGGGCACACAGGTATTGAAGGGTGTGTGCCAGTGTGTTGGGATATATCTTCTTAGAGTCTGTGTTCATGTGTGTTTGTGTCCCTGTTTGGGAGGTGTCTAGTGCGGGAGGAGACGTGTGTGTGCACGTGCCTGGCAGCTGGGCAGGGGGGGTCTCAGGTCTGCCCACCCACTGATGCAGAAGGGTATTTCCTGCGTGAACAGGAGGGGGAGGCTGCATTAGGAACCTGAGGAATTGCGTACTGCATATGGGCCCCAGCTGTCACTTGCAGTCAGAGCCCCGGGAGGGAGAACTGGGAAGGAGGGGCACACCTGGGATTGTGTCACATCACCCCTCCAGCCCTACCCAAGAACCTTGCTTGGGCCTCAGAGGTATAGTGTACTACCTGTGCCTGGGCTCAGATTCTGCTCTGCATGACCTTAGGCAAGTTTTTAAACTCTGCCTCAGTTTCCTCATTTTCTACAAAGATGACAATAGTATCTACCTCACACGTAGCAGTTTAAGTAAGTTCATGTGGAATAGTCCCTAGGACATAATAACTACTATACAAGTATAAGTTTGTCATCATCAGTATTTTCTGAAGTCCTGGGACCTTGAGTGAGTCCCTTCTGTACTCTGGGCCTCAGTTTCCCCTCTAAAAAGTCAAGGGCTGCACCAGATAACCTCTCAGGTCCCCCTCCCCTGCATCTCCAAGGCTCAGGTTCTGTGCTGCTTCCTAAATAAGTCAGGGCCCCACCCAGGCTGCTTCACCCCAGGCAAGCCTCCCCCGGTTTCTCTGCCTTCCACTTTTCAGGCCAGGAGAAGGATGGAGAGAAATTTAATTTATGTTGGCTTATGATAATGGCCACTTAGTGTCATGGTTAAAAGTGCAAGCTCTGGAGCCAGACAGCAGTAATATCCAGTCTTGCTTTTCTCCTCTGAGACCTTGGGCAGATTTCTTACCTTCTCTGTGCTGTTCGCTCTTCTGTAAATTGGGGACCATGTTCATACCCACCTTGTAGTGGTTAATTTTATGTGTCAATGGTGGGCCATGGTATTTAGATATTTGGTGAAGCATTATTCTGGGTGTTTCTGTCAAGGTAGTTTTTGGATGAGATGAACATCTAAATCACTGGACTTTGAATCAAGCAGATTACCCCCCATGATATGGGTTGGCCTCATCCAATCAGTTGAAGACCTTAATAGAACAAATGCTGACCTCCCCTCAGAAGAAGGAATCCTGCTACCAGACTGCCTTTGGACTTGAACTGCAACTCTTTTCCGAGTCTCCAGCCTACCATCCTATCCTACCCCATCAGATTTGGGCTAACCAAGCCCTCCTAATCACGTGTGCCACTTCCTTAAAATAAATCTTTTTCTCTCTCTATATATACACATCCTGTTCTGTTTCTCTGGAGAACACTGACTAATACACACCTCATATGGTTATAACGAAGATTGTACAAACTAATATACATAAGCATGCTTAGAACACTGCAACCTAGAAAGCTCTCCCAAAGGGCTAGCTCCTATTTATTGAGCATCCCCTAGGGGCTGGCAACTTCATATATGTTTTCTCATTTGCTGCCCAAAGGCTCATTGCATAGGGGCGGTGGGATTCCCATTTTACTGATGAGACACTGAGACTCAGAGAGTGGCTGCCTCCAGTCCGCGGCGAAGTGAGGATCTGAGTCCATGTTCAGGGCTCCAGCCTACTCTGTAATGAAGTTCACGGAGCTTCCCAGAGTCACTCCAGGCAGCAGTGTGTGCACAGAGAGCATGGATGCTGTTCCTGGTCATCACTTTTCACCTATTAGTTCCCAAAACCCCAGTTCTTCCTCCTCCAAGGGGGTCTCTTATTGAGCACAGATCCAAGACTTGAAGGCAGGCCTGGGGAAGGTGGAGTCAACAGCAAGAAAGTTCTCAGGCAGCTTACGGCCTCTTAGAAGAGGCAGGACCGGTGACCCTGAGACTGGCAGGCAGTGTAGCCTCAGTCTTCTCTCTGCTCCCTCCTTCCCTCCGCTGAACCTGCCCCTCCCCGCATCTCCACCATCCATGCTATTGCTCAGGCCCAGCATCAAGAAGTGGCCTTTGACCCCTCCCTTTCTCTCCCGTGTCAACCCGACCTCCTCCGCCATCACACAATGATGGAAGCTCCCTTCTCTTCAGGAAGACCTCAGCTTCCTCCTGGGTCTGTCTGCTCCCACCCTTGCCCCTCCGCATTGTTCTCCACACCACAGCTAGAGTGAGTTCTTCAAAGCAAGTATCAAATCATGTGCTTTTCTGCTTAAATTGCCCCATCCCACCCAGAAAAAGCTCTTTGATCCGGCTTACAGAGCTCTGTGTGCTTTAGCCCCTCCCTGCTGTCCCGCCCCAGGCTCTGCCCACCCCCAACATGCCCGCCCCCGCCCTCTCTGCTCTGTGATACCACTCACCTTCCCTTCCTTAAACACAGCAAGCTTGTTCTCTCCACACAGCACGTGCTGTTCCCTCTGCTGGGAATGCCGTTCCCTGATCTTTCACACGGCTGCCCCTTCTTAATATTTCGGCTTAATTGTCACCTCAGAGAAGCCCCTATTCTCTGGTGTTTAGCTGCCCCCTCCCATCACTGTGCGCACGATGGACCACACTCTCTCTCGTGGGTGTTCTTGTGTATGATCTGTGTCCCACCACCTTGAGAGGGAAGACCTTGCCGCAGGGCCTGCACTAGGAGCGGGGTCCCCTCGTGCTGTCTGAAGGAGCAGCTGGGTCAAGGAGCTCACACGTGCATGGATGAGGCTGCAGGTCAGGACAGAGAGCTCCCTGCAGCCTCAAATCAGGGGAAATTATCTGGGAAGAGGAGCAATTTTGCTGGTTGGGGGCAGAGAACAGGCAACTTTGGTGATCAAGGGACAGCACTTGGGCAAAGATGGGACAGCAGGACCAAGCGTGGCTTGTTCGGAGACCAGAGACTTCAGCTGGCCTTATTGAGCACCAGCAGCTGTAGGTCAGGTACTGTGTCAGGTGTCGTGGTTATAGGGATGGGTCTTTCTGTCCTCGAGAAGTTTGCAGTCTGCTAGGGTGATGAAGTGTATATTATCTAAGAATGTCCTGTTAGAGGGAAGCGAAGAAGTGACGAGGGTACCTGAAGAAGAATACTCCAGGCCAAAGGCATAAACAGTGCAAAGGCCCTGGGGTGGGAATATGCTTGCTGGCCTGCTCAGGGCATGGCAGGGAGGTTTGTGGCTAGGGTGGAGAACAGTGGAGGGCAAGGCGGTAGAAGGTGAGAGCAGAGAGGTAGCTCTGGGTGGGGGAAGCAACACAGACCATGTAGGTCTTTGCATGTAGGGCTTTGCAGGCCATTTCAAGGGTTTTGACTTTTCACTGTGAGTGAGATGAAGAGCCACTAGGGGATTCTGAGGAGAGTGGGGGCACGATCTGACTTAGATCTTGGAAGGATTCTTCTGACTGGTGAGTGGAGATGGACCAGGAGAGGGGGTAGGTGAGAGGTCATGAGAATTCCAGCAGCAACGGAGGGTGAGCTGCGTGGCTGGGTTTCGATGATTGTGTGAGTGGTTCCTGTGGGTGCTAGAGAGTGGCAGTCAGCCCCGCTTGCCAGTCATGTGGCCTTGGGCCGACCCCTCCAACTGAGCTCGGCTGCCTCACCGGTCTGTTGTATTGGTCAGGGTGCAACTAGAGAAACAGACCCAGGGGGAGCTACGCATCAAGAGGTTTCTCACAAGGACTTGGCTTACACGATGGTCG